TGATTTTTTATTGGGACATATTTAAGGGTTAAGGTGTGAAGGTGCTAAGGCCATTTTACTAATCTCTATATAGCATAGAACAAAGTCGCTTTCCGCCGTCTGTACGCTTAGATCTTTTAAACTACGCAACAAATTTGATTAACAAATTGTGGTTTTATCAATAGATAGAGTGGTTCAAAAGGAAGGGTCATACGTATAGTTTAATATTTTTTATTTTTATTTTTATATCAACCTTTAAGTGTTCACTGTTGAACATAAGTCTCCCACTTGGGGGGTTTTGTCAGTAGTTGCCTCGCTTGGTAGGCGGGTTTGCAACCGCAGTCAGGCTTTACAGATGTTTTAAGAGGGATGCTACTGCTCATCCTTCGCCCCCCTAAGTCGACTCTTACGACACCCACGGGTTAGGAAGATGTGGCCTATTCTACACCGGGACCACACGGCCTATAGTTATAGTTTAATATTGTTTTTTGTTAATTTGACGATAATTGATATATGGCGATAATTGTTCAAGACGTCGAAAGAAATCGACTACGAGCTTTCATTGAAAACGCTACGTAATCCTTTTGAGATCTCTGTTATAGGTCTGCAAAAAATTCGTGATGGTATTTAGCTATCATTTAAGGATAGTATACTATACCCATCTAATTAATACTCAACGCAACAAATTGATGAAAAAAATAATGTAAACCTATATATACTACTACATAAATTCATAAACGTGAAAGTTTGTTTATTTCTTACTTCTTATCGTCTTAAAGGCTCTGATTCATCACTACATAGTATAAAACAAAGTCGCTGTCTGTCCGTCCTTATGTATGCTTAAATCTTTAAAATTACGCAACAGATTTTGAAGCGGTTTCTTTTAGTAAATAGAATGGTTCAAGAAGAAGGTTTATATGTATAATACATGCATAATATAGTAGAGAAACACTGATAATTTTAGAGGTTTCTAATATGATGTGATGCAATGTGCACCCGTCCGAAGCCTGGGCGAGTCGCTAGTTCACTATAAATTATCATGAAATATGATAACGTAGTATTTGACTTGGAGAAGAACGTAGGTTATTTTTAACCCGGTGAATCAATATATCCAGGTCACAAAGTCAGAGGATGTTAGTTCTAAATTTACCTATTATTTGTTATACGTAATAATTCTATGCGTATAAAATTATAGACAGAAATTACATTAATGGATGCCCCATATTTGCCTTTACAAACGATGGACCAAAGTACAAAATGCCAATTGAATACGTTCAATTGTAAATTTGTTAAAATCTATCAGCCTAATTAACTTTCTCTTTTAAGACGTGGGTTGATTCCTCAATCGGTACACGTTCAATCAATATGTCCCACATCGAACATCTCAATCAGTAGGCATTAAGTAAAAAATAACTTTCGTTGCTCATGTGGTTTAAGTATGATTGCCTTATTGTAACTAATAAACCGCCAGGGGCTAAGAAACTTATTTGTCTTCAGAGATTTCTATTTGTATTAAAGAATTTAAAATATTAAAAGAAAACATCTCAGAGGGGGGAGACTTTGTACAAAAGACGTTTGCTTGGGCACTTCTGTCCTGTTCGTGTTTCTACCGTGAAGCAGTTGTGTTTGCATAGCTGTGTTTCGGTTCGAAGGGTGGGATATGGCAGTGAATTTATAGGGTGTAGAGGAATAACAGCTGAGTCCTCAGAAATGACAACGCATGGAGGATATTATGGGCGAAACAGTATACTCTGTTATGTCCATGGTACTGCTCATGTCTATAGGCGACGGTTACCACTTTCCATCAGGTGGGTCGTCATTTTGTTTGCCATATAAATATGTAGAATTAAAAATGTTAAAAAGATATTGTATCTTCCTTTTGGGTCTCTTATTGTTAGGTGGAGAATACCAAATCTATTTTGTAAAACAAATAATAGAACATATTTTAAATATACTATTGGGACTTAACGTAATGAAAAATTTACAGATAAATAATACCTACATACCTGCATCTTTATTGCCGTTTCATGTATATAAAATAGTGTATTTATAAAATGTGCAATCAACGCGAAAATTTAAAATCATTTAAAATCAACGGAGAACAATGATACAATTAGATGAACGGATGCAATTAGATGCATTTTTCAAAAATAATATAGGGAAAATTATTTTTAAATTAGATTGAGAAATTTTTGAGTTATCAATTACAAACAAACAATCACGTGTTTCCTTTTCACAACATTAGATAATTAATAATGCCAACCCTACTTTGCCTGCGTGAATCTATTCTACAAATGTCACTCTTAGATGTAAATCTCATTCAGAAATTGTACTAATAAAGTTTATAACATGTAATTCAGTTGTGTCCGTAATTTTACAGCTACAAGCATGTGCTCGTATCGTCGCTCACACGTCCTCAGATCTTTATATTCATGTACTAAAATAAAATTATGAATGTGTTTGAAGTTAATATACTAAGCTAGAGGGTAGGGTGAAGGGTCAACGTTCTCATATGATAAAATTCGGGAGCGCACCAGACTGACACCGTCCCGTTGGCGGGTCATCACCGGTTATGTAATTTTAGCTCCATTTTATTCAATGATCTTTAACTTTAATTTCACTTTGTATTTATTAAATATACTAGCTTTATGCCTGCTACTTCGTACGTGTGGTTTTAGAAGTAAAAAAAAACTAATGAAACCATTTTTAGAAGACGTATCAAGATAAAACTATGTATAGTAAATTGTTGTTATCTTTCAAAATAATTATTTAATTTTTAAATTTTTTTTTAAATCCAAGCACCACTATTTACTATCTGTTCAGCGTAACGGTTGACTGGTAGAGAATGCCATCGGGTATAAAATAGACATATTTTAATGTGTCCAAAAGTATAAATAAATAATAACCGTATTTTAAGTTAGACCTTTAGGAACGCATCTGTGAACCGCATCCAATTTGGAGCAGTAGTTTTTGAGTGATGTCGTAACAAACATACAGACAGACAAAATTTCAAAAAAATATTGTTTTACTCTCTATTGATCTTATTAAGATCCTCATATTAACTTTTTAATATTTCTCATGTCTTCTTCATCAGACGTTGTTTAGTTGCAATTTTATTATTCAATTAAAATAAAGATAATACACACATACATACAAACACACACACAAACACACATTACTTTTCTTAATTTTTAAAATTCCTAAAGTTAATTCTTAATATTTAAATACATTCTATTGTATGTTTCATTACCATAGATTAGTTGACAGAGTGCAAGTAGTCTAGTACTCTATTGGGCACATCCTCGCTCCATTGAGGTGGTACGTTTTCACACGCCTACTCAACAATCTACACAAAATGCCTGACGGATATGATTGTTTGTCGTATTTGTTTTTGACGTGTAGGACGCCGTACTGTACTGTGTAGTATACATTAAATTGATTTATACTATTTATACACGCAACAAATCTGTTTACGTTCGAAAGCGATTATATTAATGCACAAGCAATTAATACTATATGGACGTTGAAAAAAAGCAAGCCGTAAATCAGATTGATGATATAAATGAATCGTCTTATAAAAACTATAAATTATAAACGTTATAAGTTTTATCTATTGTTACATTTTTTTTTTAATAAAAAAATTTGCTCATCTACGGAAGTGAAGTCGCTTTAGTTCGATGACATAAATGAATCTTCTTATAAAAAACTAAAAATTATAAACATATTGTTACTTTTATTTATTATTTATTGCATTTTATTTTGAAATTAAGAATTTACTTCGAAAGAAGAAGACTAAAGATTTAATAATTTAAGATAGGTATTTTTATGGTTTATGTATTTATAAATATTATTGAATTTGAAAATTCAGTTATATATTGACCTGACTAGTTAAACATCATGCGGGCATGGATAGACAACATTTATTATCCTTTAATATTGAATGTATATTTATTCGTTTATATGTGTAATTTTAGTATGTATGTATATCAATAATTACTAGTACCGCATTCGAGTATTGTAACACTTCCCTATGGTTGACTGGGAGAGAATGCTTCTAGCATTAAGTCCACCACGTACATATATTTGTACTAATGAATAAATAAATAAACGTAGTCTAAAACGTGCCTTTTTTCTGATTCTTTTTAAATGAATAGGTAATATGTATAGATGATTATTCTCTCTGTAATAAATAGAGCTTGCATCAATTGAATAAATTGTAGAAACGAATAAATATATAAATATTTGGCCTAATAATACGTTGAGCTATTCATCTCATTGACCTAATTTTAGGTCTAACTAGGATAACTTGGCAAGTCTGTCTAGACAACTAAATAGGTAAGTATAGGCTGGGTACAAGAGGGAAGGTCAACACTCTAGTAATTTAAATTATACAGAGTTTAACCCGCTTAGTGTACCTGTTAACTGAACTGTTTTGCTCATTACATATAGTAAAAAATCCTGCAAATATTATAAATGTGAAGTTTTGTAAAGATGTTTTTTTTACTTTATTAAATGTTGCTATATAAATCGATTATAATCTCTCTGTATTTAATATAATATTTTTATTTTACGCGAGCAAAGCTACAAGTTACATACAACTAGTATAAAAACAATTGTTAAACCTTTCATACAAAATGCCCGGTCACTTGATAAATGCTGTATGAAATTAATAGATACTATTTTCACATTTTGTCGCATCTAAATTAAGAAAATGTTCGAAAACGCAATGCTGTTATTGTTCAAAGATTGAACTCGCAACCATTGTAATTTACAGCGGTGTTTTAAACCGCTATACAACCGTCATCATCATCACATCAGCCATTGATAAACATAAGTCTCCCCCTTGGGGTGTTTTGCTAGTAGTTGCCACGTTTTGGCAGCCGGGTTGACAACTGCAGTAAAGTTTGGTGATGTTTTTAATGGAAGCTACTGTCCATCTCTCGATCATTAATTAGACCTCCATGGTCGTCGATATTTATACCATATATGTATATACACTAAAAGATTGTTTACATTGGCAGCGCTCCCGCCGGAGATCAAGGAGGCACCAGAGAACGTGACCAAGGTGGATGGCTCCACGGCGGTGCTCAAGTGCCGCGTGTTCGGCGCGCCCAAACCCATCGTGAAGTGGATGAGGGACGACGTCGACATCACCGGGGGAAAGTGAGTATTGCCGCCCACAGGAGATGTATTTTTATATCAAAGGTTTTTTTTTTAATGGGCCGTGATGGAACAGTAACCCCGCTTGAGAGGGATGATAAATGAAAATTAAAATGCTTGTCAGGCCCATAGTGATGAATACACCGGGAACTCAACACGATGGTTTCCAAGGTGGACCATGTAGGTGTCGTCCTAAATATTAATCCGCATAGTAACAATCCCTTCCTCCTTTTACCACAAATGAACGCCTACGACCCTAGAGATCTTACGTGTGCGTTGACGACCCTGAAGAGACCTTAATATGCCCTTTCTGAAAAACCCCATACTGTAGTCTCTAGCTAGGGAGTTAATTTATTAAATTAATTTATCTCGATTGTATTTTCCATATAAAACGATTTATTCTTCTTTTATAATTCATTATACTCATTTATTCTCTATAATATTTTATACTCATTTATTCATTCATTTACTATATAAAGATTTTAGAATGATAACATATTCACGATAGTTTTTGATATATTCTTAATTGATGGAAAATTAAATTTGTATCATTTAATATATTTCATATATATATTTTATATATATATATTTTATATATATATATATATATATATATATATATATATATATATATATCCATCAGTATTATACGACTATACCGATATGTATGTATGTGTAAGATTCTGTTTACCTCCATAAACGGTATTTATTATAACGCTGGCCAACTGGCTCGATATAGGGTTTTATAAGTAACTTTCTTTCACTAGAACACAACTAAAGGTGTATTGCACACACCTTATCAATATGATGATTATTCTTATTTACGTTTTTCGATACCCTTGTTTGTTTAACCTTAAATAACTGAGCTTGTTTTATAAAGCCTATAAATAAAATTTGTACCATCACGCTGCCCTATCAAGACTCAATGATTATTAATTTATTTTCTATTAAAAGGTTATTTTATTATTAATATATGTTTTAATTTTAGACCTTTCGATTTAGGATTGGCCTTTCCAGGTGCTCTTTACGGGTCATTTCACATTCGTAAATTTAACCTTAGTCAACTATCTACGAGTATTGTTAATATTAGATTTACAGTTGTATGTCGAATATTTTCAACCGACTTTTAAAAAAGAGGCACAGTTTCAGTTCTACACGTATCTATGGAATGAGCTCCCTGTCGAGAGTCCTTTTACCAAGAGACTACAGCATAGGGTTCTTCAATAAAGGGGTTCATAGGCTACGGTAATTACTTACCGTAGCCCATGAACCCCTTTATTGGGCCTTTATTTACGTTGGGCCGTATACTTTTTTGCCACTTCACTAGTATAAAAAAATCTGTATTTTACTACATATCTTTGCTAATTGTGAACTGATTTTAAAAGCTTTTTTTATTTAGAGACTTAAAATGTCATAGGACCCTATATTAAACATAACATTCTTTAAAAATATAATATTGCAATTTACAGTCATAAAATTAAAAACTGAACTTTTTTTATGCAACTTAGAATGGCAAACAAGCTGACGGCCCACCTGATGGAAAGTAGCAACCTTCACCTATAGGCATGAGCAGTACCATGGACATAATAGAATATACTGTTTCGCCCATGATACCCCCCATACGTTACCATTCCTGAGGACTCGGGTATTATTTCTCAGTACCCTGTAAATTCACTGCCATATTCCACCCTTTAAACAGAAACATTGAATCACGAATGGGACACAGGTACCGAAGCCAACGACTGTTGTACAAAGTTTGCTTCTGGTAAACATAAATATTATTAATAACAAATACCAGGAATTTAGTAACAGGCAGGTCACTTATAGCGTTGTGAGAATTGAAAATGCACCTGGATTCTCTTATCTGCCTTGTTTATAGGAATTATGTTATCAAAGGTATCCCTTTATATACGGATAAGCGACCGTGTAGTTTAAATTTATATAAAAATAAATATAACAATATTTGACACTGATGTGGTGGGAATTCCCTTAAAACCAAATAACAGTAATAATAACCAGTGTAGTATTTAAACGTAGTTATACTATTTTCCTGATGAATCTTCAAATATGAGGGCGAAATCTGCCAAAATGTAAACAAAAAGTTTGGTTGGATACTGCAACGAGTATAATGAATGATATTGGTATGGTAACCCCGCTTGCGCTAACGGGATACACTGGCGGAGCTCCAGTGAAGGGTGATAGATGAGAATGAAAATAAGCCAGTTAGCCGATCATGATGAATTCATCAGGAATTAACCATAATAGTTTCCAGCCAGAACCGCGAGGAGGTCAACCTGTTTGGGTATATTGCTAGCAATGGGATTCTCAGCCTCCATTACTAACAATTCCTTTCCCCCCTGATCTGACAGTGTTAATTGCTAGCAGTGAGACAGGTAGTCCGCATTACTAACAATCCCTCCTATCCCCCACTGCATCGAATTTTAAAAAATGTTAATGTTCAGGTACAACATCACATCGGAGGGCGATCTCGTCATACCAGACCTGTCATTCACCGACGTGGGCACCTACCAGTGCTACGCCAAGAACAAGTTCGGGGAGAAGTCCGCGTTCGGCTCGCTCACTGTTAAGAGTAAGTTGAGAGTGTGTATAGAAACTGGTCTTAGCTGTGTAGGTCCCGGCATAGAATAGGCCACCCTTTCCTTTCCCGTGGAAATCGTAAGAGGCGACTAAAGGAGCTTATGGTGGAGGAATGGGCAACAGCGTCATTCTTAAAACATCACTAAAAGCCCAACCGCGGTAGCCAACCCGCCTGCCAAGCGTGGCAACTACTGGCAACACCCCCCCCTTATGGGGGAGGTTATGTCCAGCAGTGGACAGTTAACGACTAATACAACAACAGAAACTGGGCAGCAACGTGTCGGTGTACAAGGCGTTCTTATTAGTTACTGGTACTTTGATACTGAAGTGCTACTTCCTTTAAGTAGGAGGTTAGTTTTTAACACGATTATATTTTTTTTATGGTTTTTATTTTTTATGCTTTACTTCCCAAAGAGGGTTAACGTCAGGCAGACGGCCTGATTTACATCAACAACTATAAAAACTATAAAAAGCATATTTCATCGACCCCAAATAATAATTGGGATAAGGGTAGGAATTAGATGATTATTACAGAGTGGTGGACTGTGATGAGATGATGAAATGATATAGACACGGAATATCGTAGCGAAAAAATGTATTGCAAGAAAGAGTCAATAAGTCAAAAAAATATAAAATTGAAATTACAAATAATAAGAACATTCTAAAAGTAAACGTGTATAAAAAAGTGTAATAATATCTATAGAGTGCATCGGCCGGTCGCCAATAATGATGATAAATGATTTTTTATACTTTAAATTTTTTTATAGTTTCACACTGACTTTATTGAATTTTTTTTTTTATATACAAATATAAAATTATAATTACAGAGCACACGGTAATAACGGACGAGCCGGAACACTACGAGGTGGCCGCCGGCTCCCCGGCCACGTTCCGCTGCAACGCGAACGCCGACGACTCGCTCAACCTGGAGATCATCTGGCTGAACGACGGCCAGCCGATCGACTTCGAGAACCAGCCGCGCTTCCGCATGACCAACGACTACTCGCTCCTAATATCCGACACCATCGAGCTCGACTCCGGCGAGTACACCTGCATCGCCAGGACGGAGATCGACGAGGCGCGTGCGCAGGCCACGCTCACCGTGCAAGGTATTTATTTTTTTTTATTAAAAAAAATGCCAACAGCTAGAAAATTTCATTATTAAAAAAAGAATTAAAAACCAAAAGCCAATTACAGATTTTGACAAATAAAAATAAGATTTATGCTAATACACATGACATCTAACATTTACAATGAACTATATGAAACTTAGAATCTAAACCTACAATGATTTCATACCACGCCACTTACTAGTGAATTTTATTGGTTGTCATATCATGTACGTTTAAAAGTAAAAAACAGCCTCATACGTACATTTATGTCACGCCTATCTCCCATTGGGATAAGGGAAACGTCAAATGTTTTTATCCAAACATATCGCTTTCACTTCCTCCATATCCATCAGACTATTTATGCAATTTCGCCGGTTAAGTGTACTTTTAATCTGGCCCTTCTTCAAAACATCGCCACATTTAGTCGAGATACGTCTGTCTAAAGCGACTCTTATCGATGTCCCCACTCATTGCCCGATAAGTTTGAAATAAATTTTCATTTATTCATATTTTTTTTATTTTATTATTTTTCTTTCATTTATCCACCAGACCAATTAAAAATCCCCTTTTCAATTTTTGTAATTAAACCTCTTCATACAGTTATTATATATTATTACATTATTATTTTGTGGTATTTTATAATATATTTATGATACTGTTATCATGAACTAAAACGCCCAATGATACAGTGCTCAATCTAGCAGTTTTGTAGCTTTGGACTTTTTGTTTTAATAAAGAATAATGAAATGATAACCCCGCCTGCGCTATCGATATACACTGTCGGGGCACCAGTGGGGGATGATTGCTGAGGATGAAAAGACAGGTCACTTAGCCCATCGTGATGAACTCAACGATAAATTAGTCACGATAACTTCCAGTGGAAACCGCGTGGTGGTCCACCTGATAGGCTATATTAGTAGCAACGGGAACTAACCTCCTCATTACTAACAAACCTCTTTCCCCATGGACTAAAATAAAAATGTATTATGCCTTCCCGGTATAGAATAGAATAGGCTTCCTATCCCGTGGGTGTCGTAAGAGGCGACTAAGGGAGGACGAGGGATGGGCAGCGGCGTCCCTCTTAAAACATCTGTAAAACCTGACTGCGGTTGCCAATCCGCCTTCCAAGTGTAGCAACTACGGGCAAAACCCCCCAAGGGGGAGGCTAATGTTCAGCAGTGGACAGTTAACGGCTGAAATGATGATGATGATACGAGTGAGATGAGTGTTGGTGTGCAGACAAGCCGAACCCGCCGGCGCTGGACGGCATCTCGTGCAGCCAGCGGCAGGCCACGCTGCGCTGGCACTCGATGGGCGACAACCGCGCGCCCATCCTGCGCTACAGCGTGCAGTACAACACGTCGTTCACGCCCGACGCCTGGGACGCGGCCGCCGACTCCGTGCCCGCCACCGACGCCTCCTGGGCCGCGCAGCTCAGCCCCTGGGCCAACTACACCTTCAGGTACTACTCCTCAGACTATATCATCATTCACAGGAGAACCAACACCATACTTCATAGTGTCTGTACTTATTATTTGTCTATAGTTGGCAGTTATAATTTTTATAATTTTTTTTTCATACATATATACAGTGAAAGCTTTATATAAGCAACCTCTGTATAAGCAACATTCTTTATATTTTATTCTACTCAGCTTAGTTAGTAAAAGAAATAAGTAAAAATATTTTCTAGACTGTAAGTATTTTTATACTCCTTTTTCCTCTATAAGCAACATTTCCCAATAAGATTTTTTTATTGAAATTGGTTCAAATGAGTTGCTTATATAGAGCATATTTTAATTTTCTAAAATCCTATTTATATACTATGTCGCCCAATGACATATTTACACAGATGTATTATATTATAGCTTTGTATTGTCCGGAACCAAACCCTGAAAATATTAAAATGTAAGGCAGTGCAGACTACGAGTCTACAACACCAATATCATCAAATAAAGGACGTAACTTTGTATGTATTGTGATGTGCATAAGAATAGAATATATATAATATTTATTACATGGAAAACATATAGTTAACCCTTCTTTGCATGTTGTTTTTATTGGTAGAATAAATCAAGGTGATATAATTCATTTTCAAAATTAAATGAAAAATAGTCAAAAAAATAAATTAGGTATGTTTTTTGCGATGGACATTAAAAAGGTAGCTAGACATGATCAACTTAACTTGTTCTTTTATATAATTTTTGGGCATTCAATGAAATTTCCACCATTATGCTAAGAAGGGTTAAAACAGAAATATTACAGTAATATTATATATATTTTCTTATATTAGGTAAAAGGAAATGGCTCAGCTGATGCTGTGAGTGTCCCAGTGCAATGTGAACAACTGCACAGCGCTGGTTTTCAGCCAGTCCCTCTCTTAACAAAATACAACAAAAGTACAAATGTGTACAACTGCAATTCCATATTACAAGAATTATTTCTTAGATTGTTATACTAAATAATGCTGTTCTATATCCATTACTAATTACCACTTCCTATTTTTTTTTTTTTTTTTTTTTTTTTTTTTTTTTTTTTTTTTTTTTTACAACACAGGGGGCAAACGAGCATGCGGCTCACCTGATGGTAAGTGACTACCGCCGCCCATGATCACCCACAACACCAGCGGCATTGCAGGTGTGCTGCCGGCCTTTTAAAAAGGAATATACTCTTTTCTTGAAGGTTATGTTGTCGTATCGGTTCGGAAATACTGCTGCTGGAAGTTGATTCCAAAGAATGGTTGTGCGTGGAAGAAAGTGCCTTGAAAAACGCACGGTGGAAGACCGCCACTCGTCCAGATGATTGGGATGAAACTTTAGTTTGTGGCGGGTTGTACGGTGGTGAAAATCAGCAGCAGGTATCAATCCGAACAATTCCTCAGAACACTCCCCATGATAAATTCGGTAGAAGATGCACAGAGATGCAACATCTCTGCGCAGTTTCAGTGGGTCGAGTCGGACAGTAAGGCGTTGACTATCGATAATTCGAGCCGCCCGACTTTGAATGCGGTCTAACGGAAGGAGTTGGTACTGTGGCGCTCCTGCCCACAGGTGAGAACAGTATTCCATATGCGGCCTGACTTGGGCTTTATATAATTTCAGGCGGTGTTCTGGCATGAAATATCGTCTCACCCTATTGAGTACTCCTAACTTTTTGGAAGCTATCTTAGCCTTCTCCTCCAGATGACCGCAAAACTGGACGTCGCAAGATATATCAACGCCCAGAATTCCTAGACTCGACTTTTTATCAAGGGAAGTGCCCTGAAAGTGAGGAGATACGACAAACGGCGTCTTTTTTGCGGTAAACGCGCAGACTTGTGTCTTTTTGGGGTTAAATTGGACAAGATTTTGTTCACCCCAGATCGAAACTTGATGGAGTGAAGTTTCGATTTCAGACACAAGTCTATTCCGGCACTCATCGGTATGTGCCCGCGAGATCTTTGCATGACCGGTATATAATGTATCTCCTGTACTGTCGTCTGCATAGCAATGAATATTACTTATCTGTAACATATCATTGATATGCAGAAGAAACAGAGTCGGAGATAGTACACAGCCTTGCGGGACACCAGCATTCAAAGGTTTTAAATCAGAGCATGCTCCGTCGACTACGACCTTAATGCTACGTTCCTTGAGAAAACTGGCGACCCAAATGCACAGTCTCGCAGGCAACCCAAATGAAGGTAGCTTTGAAAGCAGCGCTCTATGCCACACCCGATCAAAGGCCTTCGCGATATCCAGACTAACTGCTAAGGCCTCTCCCTTACTCTCGATTGCCACTGCCCATCGGTGTGTTAAGTAAGCTAAAAGATCACCAGCCGAACGTCCCTGTCGAAAGCCGTACTGGCGATCACAGATCAGCTGGTGCTCTTCTAGGTACCGGAGCAGTTGACGGTTAATGATGGATTCCATAACCTTCGAGAATAAGGAAGTGATAGCTATGGGCCTATAGTTAGCTGGATCTGAGCGATCTCCCTTTTTAGGGATCGGATGCACCAGAGCAGTCTTCCAAAACTTTGGGACTATGCCCGATGAGTAGCTAAGCCGAAAAAGACGCGTAAGAACCGGAGCCAACTCTGGTGCGCACGTCCTAAGCACAATTGGAGGAATACCATCGGGCCCACTCGACTTATGGATTTCGAGGGAGAAAAGTGCTCTACGCACTGAGCTATGCGTGAATTTAATGTCAGGCATAGAGCTCCTACAACACGTGATGGTCGGTGGTGATTTCATCCCGTCATCCAATGTCGAGTTTGACGCAAAGATGGATCCAAGAAGATCGGCCTTTTCCTTAGCGTTCTGGGCCAACGAGTCATCCTCCCTGCGCAATGGTGGAAAAGATGACTTACAGAAATTCCCTTGTGCAGCTTTGGCAAGAGACCAGAAAGCTCGAGTCCCAGAGGGCAAACTAGCCAATCTCTTGCCAATTCTACTAATATGCTCTGACTTCGCTGTGGCTATAACTCTTTTGAAAGACCTAGAGGCAGAGTTATACTTCTTTTTGAGAGCACTGGTGTTAGGATCTCGCGACGCCACACCTTTAGCCCAGGTTAGGAAGCACTCCTGTTTCAGACGAGATGCTGTTCTACAAGAGGCTCCATACCAGGGCTGGGATTTCCCGCCGACGGGCACCACGGAGTTAGGAATAAATAATTCCATTCCCTGAAGCACCACATCAGCAATGGAATCGGCAATGGCGTCAGGATCATCCAGTGTGAAGCAAACCCGCCTCCATGGGTAAGATGCGAAAAAAATCCGCATCTCATCCCAGTCCGCTGACCTGTAGTGCCAGACACGACGTCTACCCGTGGAACGTGGTAGAATCGAACTCATAAGAGGCACCTCGCTCCGCACCAGACTGTGATCCGACGATCCAAGCGGAGCTTCGACGGAAATCACATAGTTGTCTGGGTGGGTGGTCAGCAGAAGGTCCAACAGTGAAGGTGAATGGTCCAACACATCAGGTATTCGCGTAGGCGAGGAAACAAGCTGCGTCAGACCATAAGCCAAAGCAAAGTCATGAACAGATCTTCCCGCATAGTCGGTTGTACGTGAACCAAGCCATTCGGTATGGTGGGCATTAAAATCGCCAAGAATCACGACTTCAGCGGAAGGAATCTGTTCGAGCAGGGAATCTGTAGCCATTTGGACGTGCTCAATGAGTTGGAGAAACAATCAGCTTAACTGCGTGCGAGCACGTCGACGGCACTTATTCGATGTTCCATTAAGAAGAACAGAGTTGGCTAAGCAGGCTCCTCTATCTCTTACATTGAAACTACTCGATGATATTTTGAGCCAGTATCCGCAATTGCCTCCAACTTGCTGGAGTTTCGTCGAGTGACCACAGAGTATTTGTGTTCAGACGTTTTTTGTTTTAGTTAAATCTTTTTATGTTATTTTTGTTATTTTTATGTAATATTCCTTTTTATATGTTATTGTACTCATGCATTCCTGGGTGAGCGTATTGGAAGACTGTAAGGCTCACCCAGTGGATGTAATAAATAAATAAATAAATAATTGCAAGTCAAGCCATTCAATGTAAACGTTTATCTATTTTTCTTCTAAGATGATACTTTGTACTGCAGAGTGATCGCGTGGAACAAGATCGGGCCGTCGCTGCCGTCGGGCCACTCGGAGCCGTGCACCACGCAGCCCGACGTGCCCTACAAGAACCCCGACAACGTCGAGGGCAAGGGTTCCGACCCCACCAACATGGTCATCTCCTGGTCGGTCAGTATCACAGCCATCCATACTTAGATTATTCTCTTACACTTGGTATTCCAATAGCGAAATGTAATTGGCTCTCAATATTTAGGGAAGTGGTATTCCTTAGCAAAAAAAAAAGTTTACTCTCTAACAACACCCACAATACATATCAAATTATTACAACAGCCTGCATTACATTATTGCATTTGCATGTGGCATCTGGCATGTTTGCAGAGAACAGGGTTAATGATTTTTTTGCTATTTTACGTAAATGTAAGGCAAAATTTCATGAAAGATTAATGACAATAAGTAATCATATTGTAAAGACTGTATTCCTTACTGCATACCTGACGACAAAAGATTTTATAATGAAATTATTTGGCTTGGTATTTTGTAATTAATGTATAGTTTAAAAATATAATAATAGTTTGTAAATTTTAATCATAATAACTGTAAACTATGGGTATATACCTGAAAATAAAAGATTTATTATTATTATATTATTGCAACTGTCCAAAAGTCTTATAATTGTGATGGAAAATATAACAGCTTTCTGTCGAATAACATTTCGCTATAAGTTAGATTTAAACAAATTATTTAAAAAAAAGAATTAGAAGTATTATAATATTTGCTTAGTAATGTGTTGTTTAGTAAAAAGTACATTTTTAAAGTAAATGTTTTTAAATTCATATTTTTCATTGCTATATTTTTTTCATTTTTCGAATCAAATTTCGACTTCAAGAAATAGGAGGTTCTCAGTTAGTTTTTTTATGTTTTATAACTGATTTTGTCACGATTGTATTTTTTTAATTAAAACTTTTTTACTTATTTACTTTATTTATAACATGTTTGTTTATTGTACTTTATTTATTTATAATATGTAATTAAAATAAAACATTATTGTATTATGGTAAATAATAGGTCTTTGACTCAAATGTATAAAGGCGATACAATATACCATTTGTACTAGATTAGAAAATTGAATCCTTACATCTTGTGTAAATGCAGAAAATGCCTCAAATTGAACACAACGGTCCCGGGTTCTACTACCGTGTGTTCTGGCGTCGCAACATCACCGGCGAGCCCTACCAGGACCACCACGTGGCCGACTGGCAGCAGGAACAGTTCGTCGTACCCAACACGCCCACCTTCCAGCCGTACAAGATTAAGGTATATTAACACACATTAAATTGGACTGTTTTAGTTTACACTGTGAATCTGAGATTCAGTTACTAATATATTTCCGTTATCCTGCATAGGTTATAGCTGGTAACTCCAAAGGAATATCTAATGTGGCCCCAGTTGAAATCATAGGCTGGTCTGGCGAGGACACTCCTCTCCAAGCACCCACCAACTTCAGTCTCGTCCAAGTGATCACTGGAACCACTGCTTTGTTAAACTGGAACCCGGTCCCGGCGGAATCCGTCCGTGGACATTTTAAGGGTTACAAAATTCAGACCTGGGTAGATGGAGAAGAGGATAGACTCAAGGAAGTTTTGGTGAAAGCAGACGCAACTAGCGTTCTAGTGTCCAAATTTAAACCGTACAAACGTAACAACGCGCGGATCCTCGTGTACAACGGACGCTACAACGGACCATCTAGTGAGATCTTGAGTTTCGTTACCCCAGAAGGCAAACCCGGAACGGTCCGATCTTTCGAGGTATACCCTATTGGGTCCTCGGCTATGCTGCTGAAGTGGGACAAGCCCATAGACGAGAATGGAGTACTAACAGGTTATAAGATTTACTATCAGAAGGTCGAAGGTACTGCTCTCGGGCCGCTGCGGGAAAGAAAGAAGGAGATAGACCCGTCGTTCGATAGAGCGAAGCTGGCAGGTCTAGAGCCGAATACGAAGTACAGGATAGAGATACGCGCGAAGACGAAGGCGGGCGAGGGTGACAAGTATTACGTGGAGCAAACCACGAAGGGGGGACTGGTAGCGAAGCCTGATACGCCGATGTTCGAAGCGGAGCGGCTGCCGACGAAGGATGGGTCAGCGCATATCAAGGTTCGCTGGTTGCCGTCACTGGACGGTCACCCCGGGACGCACTTCGTGGTGTGGTACAAGGTGCGCGGCCACAACGCCTGGCTGCACACCAACGAGATCACCGACGACGACTACGTCATACTCACCGGGCTCGAGCCCGGCCAGGTCTACGAGGTCAAGATCACCGCGCACGACGGCGACTACTTCAGCGCCAGTGAGATCAAGGAGGTCGATATCGGTGAGTGATCTTGGAATTTGTAACTGTTGCTGGCCGAAACTGGCATACGAATGAGCAGGTTGATCATCATCTATATAGGTTGAATGTCGATATATAGAAATAAATAGAAACACTAAAAACCAAATCAGCGAGATATTAGAAGTGAAATAGAACACATTCAGATTTTTTCGAATTTTTATACTCTGTCTGTCTATTTGTCTGTTTGTATAGGCTAGTCTCCGAAACTGTTGGACTGATTTAAATGAAATTTTGCTTGGTGGTACCTTACATCTCAGTTCAACATTTAGATATTTTTAATCACGGAGAATTAAAGAGTTCCCGTAGGATAGTTAAGAAACTATAGTAACTTATACAGCTTAGTACACGACCTACTTCAATAAAGTCATTTTAATCCAAGGCAAAGAGTGAGAACGACACGTCATTTGTTAATTTTGGTCCAGTATTCCCAGACATAATAATTAGGTAGGTACATACATCATCATACATATTAAACAGGAATAACAAACACCACGCGGACAAAGTCGCGGGCATCAGTTAGTTGGTATATAATACTCTTTCTCGATTCACTCGTTAACTATGTACTTACCTATTGTATTGTATTTGTGGATTTAAAATTTTGACAATTAATTTGTGTGGCTAGCGAGGTAATGAGACGTGACGTCACATAACCGATGATTATGGGGGGAAAAGGGATTGTTAGTAATGGAGACTGAGAATCCCGTTGCTAGCAATATACCCAACCACGTCGACCTCCTCGCGGTTCCTCTTGATAGTTTCCACGGTTAAGTCCTGATGAATTCATCATGATGGGCTAACTGGCCTGTATTCATTCTCATCTATCACCCTTCACTGGTGCTCCGCCAGCGTATTTCGTTAACGCAGGCGGGGTTACCATTCCATTTTCACTTATAAAAAATAAACCGATGATTATGTTGAGTGCAGAAGGGCCGACGATAACGCGCGAGGACAAGATGGCGACGGCGGGCTGGTTCATCGGCGTGATGGTGGCGTTGGCGTTCCTGCTGCTGGTGCTGGTGCTGGTGTGCGTGGCGCGCCGCAACCGCGGCGGCAAGTACGACGTGCACGACCGCGAGCTGGCGCACGGCCGCCGCGACTACCCCGACGCGGGCTTCCACGAGTACACGCACCCGTCAGTATATACCTTCACACCTCCACACATACATACACCACGAACATTCACAATATAATCTAGATACCAGAGGGACACTTTGTACAAAAGTCGTTTGCTTGGGTACCTCTGCCCCATTCGTGTTTTTACCGTAAAGCAGTTGTGTTTGCATGGCTGTGTTTCGGTTTGAAGGGTGAGATATGGCGTGAATTTACAGGGTACAGAGGAATAACACCCGAGTCCTTAGGAATGGCAACGCATGTGGGGTATCATGGGCGAAACAGTACTCTGTTATGTCCATGGTACTGCTCATGTCTACTAGGCGACGTTTACCGCTTTCCATCAGGTGGGCCGTCAGCTTGTCTAAGTCTATCTTTTTTTTTATAAAGATATGAGGCCTTTAAAATCAAAGACTGCTGTATCCAAATCTGTCAAATGTCGAAGAAACTACAAAAACTAATATTTTGTCAAGGATATAGAACGATAATCTATATTTTAAATCAGATTTAAGAAAATTAGAATATTAATAATAGTTTGAATTTTAATAAATACTGTTGGAGTTTTAATACTGGCTGTTGACATTAAGCTTTTTTAGAATAATGTATTATTTTTTTGTTTGTTTTAAGACATGTCTTGAACCTTTTCACTAAACTTATTATTTTATATCTCAAATTATTTTATATAACAAATACATATATGTTTTATTACTGCATCCTGCTATTTACAACAAATAGAACTTTTTATTAAGAGAAATATTTGAGTACAGAGTGAAAATGAAATCGATTTTATGGCGTTTAGTTGCCTTTGATTTTATAGGCCTCATATATAACAATACTACCAATTTCGGTGATTCATTCTTCATTCTCATTTGTACATCGCAATTGTTGCATCTTTATGCTTAAACCTTAGATTATATAGATAGAGCATCGAGCCTCAAAAACGGATCAACTTTTTGTCAGCTAATTATCAAATTAGCTGTTTCTTTTTTTTTTATTAGTCTTCTATGTACTTACGCACACAATTTATCTTGTTGTATCTATATTTAATTATCTTCTATACTTATAATAAATCTGTAGAGAGGTCATTTTTGTACATGAAATATTTTTCCAAAATAACTATCAGGGGGTGATTAGTGATCGATACTGATGCCAAAAATGCAATCAGTAAAATTTTTGTCTGTCTGTCGGTATGTTGGTTATAGACACAAAAACTACTCGACGGATTTTAACGAAACTTGGTACAATTATTCTTCATACTCCTGGGCAGGTTATAATATACTTTTCATTACGCTACGATCAATAGGAGCAGAGCAGTAAAGGGAAATGTTGGGAAAACGGGAGAAGTTACTCCATTTTTAAGTTTCCGTCGCTTGTGCAGCCTTAATGGTCAATAACGACAAAAAACTTCGCGATACTATTATATAACTATTATATGTCTAACTATTATCGTTATGTCACAATAACCATTTTATAAAATGTAAAAATGTCCACCCGTGTGAAGCCGGGACGGGTCGCTAGTCGAATAAATAAGTTTTTACGCATTCAAAAGATGCAAAAATTTTAAGACAAGTAAACATAGAAGTTATAAAGGAATTACTCGTAACTATTTATCACTCAAAATTGTATGAAAAAGTTGACTGGCTTTTTTGGAAGCATTTGTATGAAGACACGTATCTATATAATCTAAGGCTTAAACAAAGTATAATCTATAGGTAACCTTATTCGATCTTAAACCTTGCTGAATTTATTGTTTGAGTTTAAAATCTTTTTTTTTTTAGATTGGACAACAAGTCCCGGCATTCTATGAGCAGCGGCACCAAGCCAGGTCCCGAGAGTGACACCGACTCTATGGCGGAGTACGGTGAAGGGGAGACAGGTATGTGCTTCCACTATTGCCAAGGCTAAAAGTATGTATTACGTGTTAAATTTGCATACGCATCATATAATTAAATATACAATACGATCAAAATAAGTACAGGAATACCGGTGATGTCGGCTTGTCTATGGTCACTTGAAGGGTATGGTCAGCAAGAAAAATAAAATTATTTCCCATACGTAAATAATTCTAAGAACAAGAATATCAATGTCCTCGACTTGTCTACTGTCTAATCAAAAAGTACAGTTAGTATTAAAAACATAATTATACATAAAAAAAAAAATCTGTATTCTTTAAATAATTTTTGAATTAATTATAATAACAGGTGAAGATGTTACAATATGTCGAAAGGTAATTCCTGTAGTTATTTTGATCGCATTGTACAATATATGTTTTGTGTTACTCTATCTATATATGTGCAGCACGACAAATTATGTTACCTTTTGTTTTTTAATTTTCATTTAGTGTCATATAAACATTTTCTTTCCATATAACATAGACGCCATTGCAACAAAATGCATGTACTTGTTTTAAGGTGGAGTTAGACTGAAAGAGCACAGAATAAGAGCTAGAACAAAACCACGTTAGACTAAACACTACTATATGAAGTATCTATCTATTTATATGTATTTACTTATATATATTTTTATTTATTTATTTATACCTATCGGTCTTTTCAATTATAAAGACATTTTATTTATTTATTTTTAACTATAACATTTAAGTCGATTGGTACACGTGTATGAACTGTACCTACTAATGAACTGTCAGTTTTCTCATTATGGGTTTGCTGGAAGAAATCTCTATTGGAGATAAGCTCGCCTTTGTGCACTATTATGTTTGTTTTTACATTTTAATAACCTTTTGTGTACAATAAAGAATAAAGAATCTTACATGTTTACACTAAAAAAGTCGACTTGGCAGTTAGAAAAACACGACTGTTAGTTTTTTTTTTTCAGTTTATGACTTCCATATTTGTTTTATACTGGTTTCATGTAGTCTGTAGCACTACTATAATTAAAACTAAATTAACTATACGTTCACACTAAAGAATCGACTTTTACAAAGTCACAAAAAAACGATTGTCAAGTTTTTGCTAGTTTAAGACTTCATGACCCATATTTATTTCACAACGTTTTCATGTAGTCTGTAGCATTATTCCAATTAAAAGTAATTTCTATACACTTCTTATTAAAATTTGTCGAAAATGCTTATGTACGCTTGCGACACTAGAAGTATATCATATGCGCGTTGCCAACCCTGAAGAAACCCTTTTTAAAAAATCCTATACTGTAGTCTCTAGAGAAAACCTCGGCAGGATATTTCACTACTTAAATACACACTTTATATACATATACTTAAGAACTAGTATTACATCAGCAATCGGGTAAAAATTACATGACTACTTGCTCTACGGAAGTACCCAGGAAGGTTCGCTCGGTCGATCTAGCTCCACGTGTGTGTGCGTGCGCTCGCGTGTGGCTGTATGTGTATGCATGGTTACTTGCAGCGGGCATGAACGAGGACGGCTCCTTCATCGGGCAGTACGGCCGCAAGCGGCGCCCGCCCGCCTCCGGACACACAGACTCCGCCTCGCAGGCATTCGCCACGCTCGTCTGAACCCACCCTCACCCTCCTTCCGAACCACTCACCTTAAGCTGTATAAGCAGATTTCCTTTGCACGAACTATCTCAGTAGCTGCGTTCGCGTACGCTAATATTCAAAAGCGTAGTGCCATTTTGAATCACATTAAAAAAATAGTCTGGTACTGAGTAACCAATCGCCGTAGGCCTAGATGTGATCTTCGTTTCGATTGGTCCGTTTGACGGTGAAGTCGCCCGCCAAAATTTATTTCGAATACTTTTTTTTTATAGAATACTTTGTCTCTGGTTGTACCCTAGTTTCTTAATTTGTACATGACTGCCACTACTTTTAGGCTCCCCTACGGGCGTTCGATGTCTTTATTGCACTATTTATAAAATAGTTTTAATAAAGGCTTTATCACGTGTCTTTATATTGTGAATTATCTTTATTGTGAAATCTCAAATGCAGCGGCTTAAATTAGTTATTAAGTACACAAGCAAATATTTCTTTAAGTTAGATTGTAAAAATTAAGTTTAAAATTGAGTGAATTAGTGTGATTTTTTTTCTACTTATTTTACATGTTTTTTTTTTCTTTCGCTTTTTCGTTGTTGATTGACTGTAGTTAGGTGCAATATAAAATAAACGTTATCCTGTTTCCGTCCCTATGTTCTAATCCTTATGTTTGCCTATGCACGAGCTACTTTTTTTTTATTTGTAAGGTATGTTTTTTTTTCGTTTTTGTTTACTTTTATTTTTATTTCGCTACTAAGAGTATATTGCACTATCAAACATATAAGATTATAGATTATTTTTTTACAATGATGGACTTTTAATATTAATAATTTACAACATAATGTTAATAAACTTACTCAAGAATAATTTAGGAAAATTTGATTTTCATTTCTCTGCCCTATACTTATGGCTCTGAAATAGTATTATCCCACATTATTTGTGAGTGTAATATGCTTTACAAATACAATAAATTCGTTTAATGTGTATGAGTGTGTGAGAGAGATATTGTCAAAGGTTTCACTTAAGAAATTGTTGCAACCCGACTATGGCTAGATTTTTCTTATTATTTTGCACAGTTGAATAACGCTATCATATTAACGTCCCAATCTAATGAACTAGAAGTTTAACGGACTCATCTAGGCAGAGCAAAGCATTCTGAATTGTCACTTAATTTTCAGGACATACTTTGTATCGTGACAGTGACATTTTGTAGAGCATATTTTTTTTGGCATTGATATTTTTATTTTACATCGACATTTAAATTATATTGACATTGGCATTGATACTCCGCCTTTGTTATCTGTATAAGTTGGCGGAATATCGGTGAAGAGAATCATCTCTTTTAATTAATCGATCCGTTTTCATTCTCACCTATCAAGGTGAGGATGAAAACGGATCGATTAATTTATCATGACGGATTTATCAAAAATTAACTATCATATATTGGTATATTGTGGGCTAGCAATAAAATTGTTCTTTTTATATGCTAGATGGGCACCAGTGAGAATGGAAGCTAAGGATAAAAATAGATCTGTTACTTATTATGTCAAATTCATCAAAATTTAAACTTGTATGGTTTCTAGTAGATACCGCGTGGAAGTCGACCTGCTAGGACTGTTAGACCCCATTACAAACAATATAATCAAAATAAATATAGAAGTTTTAAAGGAATCACTCACAACTGTTTGTCGCGCAAAATTGTATGAAAAAATTTACCCGTTTTTCTCGAAGCATTTCTATGGAGACACTCTATTTATATAATGTAAGATACAGATAAGTGATGTGTTAGTACTAATTAAGAGTGCGTTGGTCCGCAGGCCGGTTCACGGAGGACGGCTCGTTCATCGGGCAGTATGTGCCGGGTGCACGCGTACTGCCGCCGCCAGCCGCCGCCGCGGGAGCGCCACAGCCGCCCACCTACGTGTGAGCGCTGTCTCCGCGCCGCCACGGTATCTGCCGTCTCCCTCTAATTAACCATCTGTTTTGCACCGTACCCGGTCAGGCCGTATCGAGCCGAGCAGCTGTATATTTCAGTTTTCTGTAGCAAACTCTACTGTAACCGTTTCAGTTATATAGTGCATATTTACTGTGTCAAAATTGTCACCCTGATACCGTGTACCGAGTGAGATGTGCCCTTCGTCCCCGCCCGCGGGACGTACCAGCTGTTCGTTATACGAAGCTGTCACCTGCTGGATATTTTTACTCTGTAGCTCTGGCAGCTAGTTGTAAAAAGACGGTATATACATTTTTTTAACACTATATTTAGTTGAAATTTATTAGTATAGGGCCAAGTTAGGATAAGCCGAGTCTAAGGAGCCTACTATTAATTTAGTTCGGCCCTGCAGTAGTGTCAGTAGTGAGGGCTATTTGAGACTTCTTTTTTTACGACTCACAAATTTTGAATTCGCGATTAAAACATAGTGAAACACTTTGTTCTGTGGCAATAACAATAAAAATAGGTTCTTTTCTTTATGAGACTGATTTTAAGTAATGGAATAAAATAGTCGTCATTTTCTGACACGTAACGCTCTGTTCTGGAAGGTATAGCGTAAGAGAACATGCGGTAGGTTTGGTATACGTAAGTAGGTACGAGAGAATAGCGATGCAATAAGTTGTTCGACTGCAGACGCATCAAGAACGTCAGTGTGAATTGACCCTTATTTCTTTTGCTCTCTCTACATACCTGTTGAGTTTCGCAGTCGATCAACTATCCATAAGGACATTTCAAACACGAGCGATTTATTCTTAGCTTGTAAACATATGTAGGTGATGTTTTGGCCCGATATCAATTACTTGTTAATTAAGGATACGGTAGCTGGAAGACTTGAAATTAAGAGAAGCTATTTTTGTCACAGAAAATAGGTAAAGAATAAGAATATTAGCTCTGGACACCGGTGGTCAGACTTGCTGTAGAGTCAATAATGGTGACTCTTAAACTGTGACACAAACTCGATCATAGATTAAGAATGATAAGGTAAATCAGACTGGACACATCGTAAAAATTTGGTGATTCAGCTTGTAAATTTTTGTCAATTTTATGCCTTGTCTGGTTTATTTTATTGTGTGAAATGTGATTACATAGATCAACAGCGAAATAAATTCTATAGCTACGATATTTTATATTGAATGCATATCTTATATGTAAATTACAAATTATTGTAACATTTTTGGACCATTTAAATATATTATTTTGTGAAAATGAAAATATGACTGTTACAAAGCGTCTGTGAAAGCTACTGTTAATTTTTTGACTCGTATGTTCTCTTATATACCTCTCGTTATATGAGGGTATATTTATATATTTAGACCAAAAAGCAACAAGACATGCTTGTTCGCTTTGCAAACGTATCCTCGCAAATAGTACATCATACTTTTGGGAAAAATTGTAAATACGCTGTGAAAGCTTACATTTATTTCTACAGTAAAAATCTTGTTGCTAGATCCTTTTCTATTAAAATATGGATCTCTCTCTAATATTTTTGTAAGACGTATTATTATATTTTGGCATCTCTGTTGCGTTATCACCTCTAGCAAAGGGCACAGCTGTACTGCAAATATCGATAGAGACATATATATTTTATTATAGAATAAAATATTTTTCTACGACGCAGTTTGACCACCGGCATATGTTGGTGCTTTGCGGGGATCGATTGAGGCGTGTTTAATATAATAAATGTTGTGATTGTTCGGAAAGTAGTGTTAGAGCACGGACTCGTTGAGAGTATTCACCTGTCCCACCTGACGCCGCCCGAGCGCTAAACGACACGCACGACCGTTCAATGTCTCTCACGCAGCGTTGCCAGATTTAGTGTTTTTTGTTTTAAAATTTTTGATAAAAAAAAATATTGTGTTCACAAAATTTTTAAGTAATAAAATGAGAAATGTTGGAAGAAAAATAAAATGGGTGTAGGTAAATTTAGAGATCTTTTTTGATAGTTTTAATTAATATTTGTAAACAACTGTATAGCAGTATACAAATCCGTAGAATATACCAATCAAGGTTAGTGGCATGAGGCGAAGAAGTATGTGTAAAGAACGGCGTTTTATAAAGAAATCGTATCAATTTAAGATAAAAATAAAATTGAAATTTAGGTAGAAATCGCAAATCGTATCTGGCAACACTGTAGTACTTGTTACTGTTTGGTTCATGTCGTCGAGTTGTTTGGTGCGTCGGCGCACCATATTCAATCTATCTGACTGCTAAATGATATTAGATTTTAATTATTAAAAATCTCAACTTCTGAATTAGATATTATAATATGAAACGATCATTAGAACGCAGTTATAAAATAAGTATTGATATACATGTTCTATATGCCGTTTTGTAAATCTCTGATGTTTCACTCGTGTACTTCCGAAGTTAGTTGAATGACAGCAGGGATATTGAAGTACATTACTCGAATATTTGTCAGTAATCTCCTGTCATAGTGTTTAATTAAGTCCTAAGGCTTTTTTGTATTTGTCTATTACATAATGTATATTTGACATTGAAGTTTGAACGCACTCACATCCACATTAACAAGTTATTCCAATTTGATGTTACTATTTTTGATCGGTCACGGGGTGGAGACGTATGTTCAGTGTTGCCGCACGCCAAATTCACAAAATATTTATCCATTTTGTCGACATAAAGTTATATGGCAATCGTCTTCAGCCTGTACTGTGGAGAATCAATGTATCTCGTGTTAGATTTAAGGCTAGGGTCTCGTGTTAACTAATGTTAGTCGGCTAACGCGTTCGCTTATCTCATCGGGCATCTCTATTGTAATATTTATTCTTTGCTTTCATTACAATTACCTTGCCGTATATCGTTTCCGTTACGCAAACACCTATATGTGTGCACTAGTATTGTGCACCAACTTTGTCTGTCAATGTTACCTCTTATTATAATTTGTGTATATTCTTTCTTCGCCTGAAAGGTGTCGGGTCCTATGAAATACATTCCACGCGGTCTAACCATGTTGATTTTTTTAAATATCCATTTATTTATTCAATGTTTCTTATTGTAAGCGTCGGTCAGATGTAATCTGAACAATGTTTTTAAAACTACGAGTAAGACTGTCGTTTACTATTAAAGCCCAGTGTACGTTTGATTTCATATTATTGTACTGTACTGTACGTTTCTCATCGGATCTAATCGACTGCATAATTTGCAAATTGAGGCGTTTTGTACAAAGACCCTGATCGTTCTAATTTAGAGTTTACACTGTAACCATGGGTACCTTATATACATTGCATTATATTTATATTTGAAGGCACTGTTATTGTAACCCCTTTAAGTTATTTGTTAAGGAGTCTTTATCATGTCTATTGTCTAGTAAGAATTTAATATATATTAATATTAATTAATGGTAGGAGAGCCTTGTTCGATTCGCGTCTATTTTGTCGCTTTTTATGCCGCGCTGTTAAACATTGAAAATTCTTCGTCATAATTTGTTACAACAGATTGGAGATTGAACGTAACGTTAAATTGTTATAAATGTCGGCGTTGTCACTGCCTTCCCTTAGGAGATCACGTGTTATGTCAGTGTACTTTATCTCCATGACTGTTAGGGGTGGGTAATATATATATATATATATATATATATATATATATATATATATATATATATATATATATTCTGATTATCTATATATTGGCTCAATAACAAATATGTCAAATATCTGTTATCCAATATACAATATCAAAATAAATATAAATATCCAACCTGTACCTGTGATTTCGAATAGATAATGATCAAGTTTCCCTCATCAATGTCGAGAGAAACCCAATATATAGATATCAGTGCAATATCGATATTACCCATGCCTAATGACTATATATCATTTGCCTTAAGTATTTTCAGTTTAATTCGTCATATTCGTAAGCACAATGTCTGCATTTATTTCTGTCCACATGTCACAATGTATGCAAACGGTCATAATGAAAAGACAGCTAATGAAACCAGACACAGGTTAGTTATGAATCAAATATACTATTATACAAACGGTTCAGCGTCGTGTATAATTTAGTATAAAACAACTGATGGAGTGAAATTAAAAAAGTAAGAATTTAAAATACCGAGTCGTAGCTGAAATATGTGTATGTTGGTTGCAAATGTGATTGTACTCAAAATTGGTTTGTTTATATTGTAAGGTACAATGAATGTGGAAAATAGATTGGCCCCTTCAATATTGTATAACGTACTAATCTCATTAATGTTTTACGATAGGTATGTATTGTTTGCAGCTATTATATTATATATGTTTGACAAAGTACCTACATGTTATGTATAGTTTAGATAATATGGTATGAAGAAATGGTCAAAGTGTACTAATTAAATTATTTTAATTAATTAAATTATTCTCGTCCCTGTTGTTTACCAATTTTAATAATTATTTTGAAAGGTCATATCTAATGTTGACTAGCACCATCTTGTTTTTATAATCTATGGGCGATAATTTTGTTTAGGAAAAGCGTTCAAATTAAATAATTGCCAAGCAAGCATTTTAACCGACATTGGAGGTATTTTGTTAAATTGGATAATAATATGTTGCATTTATGTAAATTAAAAGTTGAACCATGACAAAATGTAACAATGTATAACACGAATTTGGGAATTCTGACCTCATGCGAGAACGTTCTGTTCACGAATTATAATAATTTACCTTTTAGTTCGCATTAAGTAACTGTAATTTATTGTGTAACTATGATGAATATTTTTTTATGTTGCATAGAAAATAAATTTTAAGAAATTGTAGTATGTGTTTTTTTTTCGATCATATCATTGCTAAATCAAATATTCTGAGGCTACTCTGTGACCGTTTGTTTTTACCACAAATTAAAATGATATATACAAAAAATGGCAACACTACTAACTCACACACTCACAAAACTATTATTTTCACAGATTAAGTACATGTGATACTCTGTCTATGATTATTTTAGTTTGTAATTCTATAAAAAAAGAAGAACTGAACATGTTTTTGGTAATTGAATAATGTTACGTCATGTTTTTTTTATACTACTATGGTGGCAAAGAAGTATATGGTTCGTCTGATGGTAAACGGGGTTACCGTAGCCTATGGACGCCTGTAATACCAGGGATTTTTCCCCCGTTCCCGACTCATAGTCTTAATACGCCCTTTTTGAAGAACTCCATGCTGTAGTCTGTAGAAAAAAGCCTTAGCAGGAAGATCATTCCACTACCTGAGAGTTCGCAGGAGGAAGCTCCTCTGAAACCGCAATGTGTGTGACCATTCTTGTTCTAAGGTGGAAGGATGAATTCTCTATCGATAGCAAGTGTTACGATGGTAAAAGGTGCCTGTAGATATTATATTATATTGAAATTCTTCTGAACAATTCGTTATACAGGTTGTAGAAGATGCAAAGAGAAGCAAAGTCTCGCCTTAAAGGTCTCGATACCGCCTGTTAATCTTAGGTAAGTAAAATTAGTCTGGTTTCTTCTATACTATATACTATACTCGTCGAAGAACTTTATATGGGTTGTACATTAATATACCTTTGACACTAGCTATCTACCCAGAATTGTCTGGTGCCCAACCCAGGATTAGGAACGGAGATTTGTACTATAGGCACAGACATATAAAAGCCATAAAAAGACATAAAAAGGGTCTACCCTTCTTGATAAGTGATCTTAAAAACCTCAATTAGCATCGCAGTGTTTTCGTATTCTATGATATCAATGACATTGTTCATTTCTATAGCTCACAATTACCATTTTACAACGGGTGGGAAGTCAGCTTATTGCCCTTGCATTGTAACACAAAAAGTTAAGTACAATAAATTGGTAGTTGGAGTTTCAGTATGTATTTATTTATACTTTACTAGTGACCCGCCTCGGTTTCGCACAAGTGCAATACTGGTACTGAATACTAAATATACTACAGAGTGGTTTAAAAATTAACCTTAATACTGGCTAAAGTATGAACAATTTCGAAAAATTCGTCGCGTTGATAAGTATGTTTTTTCTTAAAAAAGATCACTTTAGTATTTAAGTAAATACTATCATACAATTTCGAATATATACAAAAAAAATGTATTTACGATATTACATTAGAAATGTCTAAAATTATCAGTGTTTCTCTATTATATTATGCATCTATTATACATATAAACGTTCCTCTTGAATAACTATCTAATAAAAAAACCGCATCCAAATCCGTTGCGTAGTTTTAAAGATCCAAATACCTATACATAGAAATAGGCAACGGGAAGCGACTTTGTTTTATACTATATATTGTAGTAATGATTGTACCTACTAGTAATAAAAAATAAATATGACAGAGGTAAGCATATGTATAAAGGTGAGCTTAAATTTAAAAGAGTACTCTTCCAGCAAACCTACTGGAAAGGAGCATCAATGTTAGTATACAGATAGGATCAAAGTGTCAAACATCTTAACCTCGGCTTGATCGCGGCGAGTGTATCTTTCAATTAGTCTTAATGACACTTCCTCATTAACGAATATTGATATGTGCATATTTATTACGGCCAATAAATTTTAATAATTCTAAAGAGGAAGGACACTAAAAAGAACTATATCCCTAAGTATCTAATTCATAGATAATTACTTTATCAATACAAATATTAACATTTAATTTTAATAGTTTTCTTTTTATTTCTATGATTTTTATCCAAATATAGCTCCTATTTGTTTATTCAATTCAATCAAATAGAAAACATAGTAAAGGTAAATTTCGTATGTACTGAAGTGTATTTTATTTTATTTTTTTATACAACTTAGAATGGCAAACAAGCTGACGGCCCACCTGATGGAAAGTGATAACCGTCGCCTATAGACAATGAGCAGTACCATGGACATAACAGAGTATACTGTTTCGCCCATGATACCCCCCATGCGTTGCCATTCCTGAGGACTCAGGTGTTATTCCTCTGTACCCTGTAAATTTACGCCATATCCCACCCTTCAAAACTGAACACAGCCATGCAAAACACAACTGCTTTACGGTTGAAACACGTCTATGTCCTTCCTCTCGGTTCAGTGGTTTTGATGTAATAGTCACATTTCCCTTCACTGCTCTGCTCCTATTGATCGTAGCGTAATGAAAAGTGTATATATATATATATATATATATATATATATATATATATATATATATATATATATATATATATATATATATATATATATATATATATATATATATATATATATATTTTCGTTAAAATCCGTCGGGTACCTACTTTTATTGCAATTGGAATGGTAAATAAGCTGATAGAAAGCGACTACCTTCGGTTAAGTATACCTACATAGACAAGAACAGCACAATGTGCTTCATTCTTTTTTTTTTCTTTTCCTTAATGGCAATCGGTCGCCATTTTTACGACCATTTCTGCCAGCGTCAATGTACAAGAGGATCGTAACTCAGAATTATTACTTTTCTACGAGTATTATAGCATTCAAAGCATACCACAATCATAACAAACAATTACGCATTGTCCCATCGTGTATTTATGTATACTCAATTTAAATGTTCACCCTTCCCGCCATTTTTTTCAATATGCTGTATTGAATAGTCTACTTTTTTTTTGCTGGGTGAAAATGGTGTGGTAACCCCGCCTGCGCTAACGGGATACGCTGGCGGAGCACCAGTGAAGGTTGATAGATGAGAATGAAAACAGGCCAGTTAGCCCATCATGATGAATTCATCAGGAATTAACCATGATAGTTTCCAGGGAGAACCGCGAGGTGGTCGACCTGGTTGGGTATATTGCTAGCAAAAGGATTCTCAGTCTCCATTTCTACAATCCCTTTCCCCCTGAATAGACTATTATCTCCTTATTATTGTTTGTTAATAAGTAAATAAAGATATTTTTAGAGTTAAAAGTAGAGAGTATATACTATTATTATAGAGTTAACAATAAAGAGTACTTATTTATAATTATTATAACACCAGTGACTCTTCAAATCTCAAGTGTTACGATTCCTGAGGATTGAGGTGTTATGCCTTTATATCTCCTAATCATTTTATTGCCATATCCCGCACTTAAAAATGAAATCTACCTATGCATCACACAATAATTGAAGGTAATGGTAACCGTTACCTATACTGTTACAAGAAAGTCCTAAAAATGGGGGAGGAAAGGGATTTTTAGTATTGGAGACTGAGAATCCCATTGCTAGCAATATACCCAACCATGTCGACCTCCTCGCGGTTCCCCCTGGAAACTATCATGGTTAATTCCTGATGAATTCATCATGATGGGCTAACTGGCCTGTTTTTATTCTCATCTATCACCGTTCACTGGTGCTCCGCCAGCGTATCTCGTTAGGGCAGGCGGGGTTACCATACCATTTTCACCCATAAAAAAAATCCTAAAAGTGGATCCGATTTTTATGTTTTTGGTTTTTATGTTAATGCTAGCTTTTACACGTGTCTTCGTCCGCGTGACTAGGATATGTTTACTGACCGGGATAAAAAGTGGCCTAAGTCCTCCTCCATCCCACATTATACTTTTTTTTATATATACAACTTAGAATGGCAAACAAGCTGACGGCCCATCTGATGGAAAGTGGTAACCGTCGCCTATAGACATGAACAGTACCATGGACATAACAGAGTATACTGTTTCGCCCATGATACCCCCATGCGTTGCCATTCCTGAGGACTCAGGTGTTATTCCTCTGTACCTTGTAAATTCACGCCATATCCCACCCTTATACCGAAACACAGCCATGCAAAACACAACTGCTTCACGGTTGATACACGAAACCAAATTTTATAGTGATTGGTTAAACCATTAAAGCACTATAAAGTAACTAACAGACTCACATTTACTTTTAAAATATTAGGATAGTTGCTCTTCAGGTTGCTTACAAACAAGCGACAGAATTGCAACAGTAGAAAAACTAATACAAGATTGCAATTACCTTTGACAGGTTCCGCCGCGCCGCGGCGACGCTGAAAGTCGGCTACCGTTGGTCAAGAATTTTTTTTCTGTAAGCATCCTTTTGAAGACAATGGTTTTTTTTTTGTTTTTAAGGTACATTCTAAAGCTGTGGTATTTAGTTACGCCCTTACATTACACTATTATATGATTCGTTTCAATAGAGCTTAATGACAATATAAACAAACAATTAATTGACATGAGCAAGCTCACTGTTGTCAAATAGTAGTACAAATGAAAATATAATCCAATGTTTCAATTTATTACCAAACTTCTTTTAATAAGTGCTCCTGTAATAATTTTAACAAAAAAAAAAAACACTAAAAAAATTTATTATATCAAACTAGTACTAGAAGCACAGTTGAGTTTTTTTTTTTTTAGAAATGGAGTTACGTTTAATACCTCTGTATTTTTTTTTGTGTATATGTAACGGAATTATCTTTGACATTTTAATAATTCTTTTAACAATCACTGGCGATTACTTTCGTGCTAATTTCATATTAATTTTATTACGACAGAAGTCGTATTTTAGTGGAATGTAATATTAAATCGATAAATCAAATAGGTAATTTTCATTCAAGTAAAGTTAATTCTCTAAGCATTTTAAATTGGAATGGTTTACGAATTTATCGCCCAATTCGGAGTACAATTTCAGCTTAGAAGAACGAATAAGAAACTCAGCTGTTTAATCTTAAAAAGAGCATTTAAAATTAAACAAACTTACAAAAGTCGAGTTTACGAAAGTTATATAACAAAAAAAATCATCATCACTACTACTACATAGATTTTATTAAGTCATTATGCAAAATAAACCATTTGTTAATTGCTTTAATTTGCATAATTTTATTTTAAAATGTTTTTTATCTATGTACATACATACTTAGATGCAAGGTCACGTATGTCCTGGACACAGAATAAATAATAAGTAAGTAGTACAGTAATCCCGAATAATGACGATCTACGTATTTATATTTATAAAAAAAATATTAGAATCATCTTGTAATCTCTGTTAGAAAGCAGCAACGAATATAATTGTCTGGCTTTGTTTGCTAGCATATTGTAAAGCAAAAGCACAAATGTAGACAGTCTGTGTTGAACCACAGTTGTGTGCAGACACGTATCGGTGTTTCAATTTTAAAAGATATAAACACGTTCGCGAAGTGTGCAGCAAGTGAAGTTTAAAAGTGTGAACGTATATGCTTTGTCTTCAATTAAAAATTAAAATAAAGCGTCCACAGATTAATTTATTATTTAAGGGTATGTATAAATCATATTTTCGGTCAGTCGCTGTCGCGAAATTCTTGCGGGATAACAGCTATCTGTAAATACAGATCATTGATCCCACTTAACAAGTTAATTGTGTGATCGATACGAAATCAAAATGATTTTCTCATCGTATGTGTCATTAAGTGAAAATATACTTAGCTTTATGGATACATATATTTCATGACTTTTTCGGTACGATAAATTGTAATAAGTGAATATGATAAAGTATATAAAAAAACAAGACTGGAAAATTTGTTTTGACAGTTTATAGTCGCCATATTTATTTTTAATATTGTTGTTACGTAGCATAAAGCTTCTACAATTTAGGATTCCCACAATTGAAAGGAATATAATGACACCCTATTTATTAATTATTATCACGTATACCATTTAGGCTATGCCCACGTTACGCTCAATATCCGGACATACATACTCGATAAACAGGACTCTCCTTTTGTCAACAGTCGGGTAATATAACAAAATCCATATATGTATCTAAGAATCGCTAGAAGCCAGATATTTAAACAAAATCAATAATACATGCATGTCCTCGTATGGGCTTAAAAAACGAAGATTAAAAAGAACGGTGAAAGTAAACAATACTATCTGGCGCATGTAAACATAACAGCAGCGTTATTAATAGGGGACCAGCACCGGGATCAAATGTTCAACGCACAATGCACGGTGCACCGAGCCGGTCATGTTAATTAATATCGTCTCGGCGAATATCCAGCCGAGTTCAAGGTGCGAACAGTGCAATTATAAAACCGGTTATTTACGAGTATCCTTGCCAAAATACAGATTTTTTTGGTGTATTCTTATACCTAATGACTAGTTAAATAATTAATTTAATGTATTCAACGAAAGAATTTGCTAATTATAGTTATTTATGATTTAAATTTCGTATATGTGTCTCATTAGGCACTTACAACAAAATTAAAAAGTTATATAAAAAAAAGTTGTCCTTGCCACCTATAATAATAATTTATAATAAGGATTTTTCATTTTTTTTTTCATAATGTTTGATGTCTTCAGTTTCTTTGCTTACGAACTTACTTTTCGAAAACTAAATAAAGTATATTTTTTTTTAATACGGGTGTAAATTTTAATAATACGATTTATAACAAAACAGTAAAAAAAAAGGTACAGGAATAGGGAGGGACCAGCCGTAGCGGCGCGGCCGAAACCCGCTGCGGACAGGAGCGGTCGCGCGCCGCGCCCTGTTGCCGGACATTATTTTTTTTTTACTTTTTACTCTGTTACCTGTTTCTTCAACGGGTATCGAATCGGCTCAGAGCGGCTGGTTAGCTTAACAAGTGCATAAGCCAGAGGTGCTGCACATTGTGTCTAAACCTTTTATATTGGGAAATTTCTAAGTTTACTGCTACAAAATTGCGTTATGGAACAAATAAGAGCTCTTGAGTTTTTTCTTAGAACACAAGATTAAAATCTTATGTTGGAAAAGATTATTTACATCCGACTTCAAAAATAAGGCGGTTCTCAACACAGAGAGACTATATGTTCTCAATTCCACTGTATTTTTTTTTTCATATATCATAACTTCATCATTTGTAAATTGAAGTGGTTTTTTTTATGGAATACAATTTTTTATTATGTTTAAGCGAAAAAGTAACTTCTCGATTTCACGGTGCTTTTTGATGCATGATATTTGCCAATAATTATCGTCGATTGACAATAGGTTTAGCAATTGATAGGATTCAGTATTACTCAAGCCCCATATCTACTTCGTAAAGTTTTAAAGTTCATTTATTTAAAAATAGCCATCTTAGGTTATGGTTAACCGATGAGCCTGCAACGGCCTGACGCTAACGGTATACGCTGGTGGGGCACCAGTGAGGGATGACAGGTGAAAATGAAAAGGCAGGCCAGTAAGTCCATCGTAATCGTACATCTGAAATTCAGCTTAATGGTTTCCAGACGGGACCACGTGGAGGCCGGCCTGATAGGGTATATTGCTAGCAATGGGATTGGTAGTCCGCATTACTAAAAATCCCTTTCCTCTCTGCGAGGTCATTAGATGTAGGGATTGACCGCAATAGAAGGATCATGATATGGCCTAATCCATGCTAACAATAGTTGACCCGTTAAGGCGCCAAAAGAAAATAAACAAACGTATAAATACATTTTGAATATCAGCAAAAATATTAAGATTGTTCTATATGTATTTTTCCAAAAAAAAAGCAGTTAATTTCTCTAAATAAACTACTATGACCAACACAACAATAAATCTTTCTGATTCAAAAAAAGAATGGCAACGTACAAAAAAATGCACATTCATTTTTGAATTCTTCCTTTTTGAAATTGGCTAATGATATGGTAGGTTGGATCCCAAAATAGAATTAATAATACCAATATGGGGAAAATTATTATTATAATGCAAATGTTAGTCTGACCGGCTGGACATCCTGCGATAACGGACGAAGTGCGAATGACCCCATGTGCAGTTTGCAAATCTCTCACCAAAGTGTTATTTATTCCACAATAATATAGATTATTGTGCATTTTTTTACAACACAGGGGGCAGACGAGCATGCGGTTCACCTGATTGTAGGTGACTACCGCCGCCCATGATCACCCACAATACCAAAGGCATTACAGGTGTGCTGCCAGCATTTTAAAAAGGAATATGCCTTTTTTCTTGAAGGTTATATTGTCATATCGGTTCGGAAATACTGCTGCTGGAAGTTGATTCCAAAGAGTGGTTGTGCGTGGAAGAAAGCGCCTTGAAAAACGCACGATGGAAGACCGCCACTCGTCCAGATGGTTGGGATGAAATTTTAGTTTATGGCGGGTTGTACGATGGTGAAAATCAGCAGCAGGTATCAATCCGAATAATTCTTCAGAGCACTCCCCATGATAAATTCTGTAGCATTTGATGAAACTTGGAAGTCATCCTTGTAAATGAGAACATTTTTGTACTCTTTCATAGCGTTTACAAATACAAACAGTAAATATGTCGTATAAAAATTTTACGATTCGTCAAAGTGCCCTTATTTGTAACTACAATAATTTTGTTATGATATTTGCATGATACAAACACAACAGTGAGCAGTGTCAATTGAAAAAATAGTCATTGAAATAGGTATAACTAAAATTGGTGGAAATATTGCGTAAATAGTACATAGTTTAGGATTGTCGTCCACAAATAAGCTCTACTTCATTTGTGTGATATATCTTTACCAGAAGGAGACTTTGTACAAAAGTCGCTTGCTTGGGCATCTCTGTCCCATTCATGTTTCAACTGTGAAGCACTTGTGTTTGCATGGCTGTGTTTCGGTTTGAATTTACAGGGTACAGAGGAATAACACCCAAGTTCTCAGGAATGGCAATGCATGGGGAATATCATGGGCGAAACAGTATACTTTGTTATGTCCATGGTACTGCTCATGTCTATAGGCGACGTTTACCACTTTCCATCAGGTGGGCCATCAGCTTGTTTGCCATTCTAAGTTGTATAAAAAAATCTGATTTTACAGTATTTAAAATTGATCATTATATGTATGTCAAAACATCAAAAGAAAATGTTTAATTATTTTCATATAAAAAACAAAAACTATAATTTTGTCCGTTATTTCGTACACGTGGTTTTCAGAAGAAGAATTTTTTTTATTACACTTGTCTGTTTTTTGAATTGGCACCTTAATAAAAATTGCTACTAAAACATCAGTCGATTCCTACTATTTATTTTCCTGTTATATTTAGCGTAAACTTTATTACACAAAAAAGCGCATTAGTTGAAAAAAATTGGATCGATTTGGCAATTTTTTAATATTCACAACGTCTAATATTGTGTTTTTAATGAGAGAAAAACAAATGTACAGTTTGGAGGGAACAAAGTCTGTCAGGTCAGCTAGTTCTATTAACAAATCCAATTGATATTACAGTTTTATAGAGATAAGTTTATAATTAGAATAATTTCGGTCAGTGATTCAATATTTTTATTTACTAAAGTGAGGTCGTATGGGTCAATATGTGTTGATGTCAAATCTCTTTAATGATGATGAAAATCAACGACCGCAGGGAGAAAGGGATTGTTCGTAATGCGGACTACCAGTCTAGTTAGCTAGCAATATACCCTGTCAGGTCGACCTCCACGCGGTCTGCCCTGGAAATCATCTTGATGAATTCCAAGGTATATTTATCACGATGAGTTAACTAACCTTTCTTTTAATTCTCACCTATCATCTGGCACTGGTGTCCTGCCAGCGTGTACCGTTTGCGCTGGCGGGGATACCATTCAATTATCATCCTGAATCGAATTACAGGTGTATTCATCACGATGGGTCAACTGACCTCCTTTTATTCTCACCTATCATCTTGTTAACTGTGAATACTATTCATAATCTGTGACTTGTAACATAGATTAAATATATATTACTTTATGGTAGATTGTATTTTTTTAAACTCTCTCTGGTTTCTGCTTTGTAACATGGTCAGCGGAATAAAGCTTGCTCTGCGTAATTACCGGGTTTAATTAAGATTATCCTATAAAATAATTGCTAAAACGTTCACACCTGGCACTGGTGCCCTGACAGCATATACTGATAGTGCAGGCAGAGTTACCATTTTATTATCATCCATTAAAAAAACTACTCAGTGACGGACTAACAGGGTAGAGAAGGGTTGGGTCACCCCGGGCCTCTGATCCTGGTGGGCCTTCAAACGCCTCCATTTATCCTCATCCACATTCTTTGTACCTATATTTATTTGAATTTTATATACAGTAAAAGCTCTTTATAGTACGTTCCGTAAATATGCCGCAAAAACAGGCCGTGAATATAGACGGCCGAAGCACTTATACAGCGGCGTTAGCATTTGACAATATACTTTAGGCATTGTTGTAATAAAGTCTATTTTAGTTTTTTATTAGTATATTTGTCAACACGTTTACAAAGGACATCTAATCCTATCTAATTTTAATAATATGTACTGAGAACTGCAAATACCAAAATTTTTAGCCGCGAATATAG